GTATTTCGCGGCAATTGACCTTTCTATGTAGCATCGCGAATCCGGGTACGGGCTGAGATGTCCTTCTTTCTCGCTCTTTTTGGTGTTCTGTCTCTTCATCTGTCACTAACAACTCTTTGTGACCTAGCGCATAGTTTTATTGCATATTTCAAGCACGCGAACGTACGTAATCGTAAATGGGTACCCTCTTCAGCCGAGGAGTGGACTTGGAGAGGTCAGAGCACGGCAAGACGTCGAATGAACTCACATGGTCGTTTTGAGTCGCTTTTAGCTTCAGACACGAAAAAAAAACCCGGCTCCGGTCAGGTGAACCTGGATCAAATAGATACTATTCGAAGCAACAAACCCCCTAAGAATTTAGATGAAGGCGTGGCACCCTGTTTGCAGAGACTTGCGATATAGATTCCTTATTCACAACACTTCATGTTGTAGGTGCCGGGAACACTCAGTTTGTCATCTACCGATACATTGCGTTGGTCTGGCCGATGTGGACGTGCTCACACTCCTGGATCGCTATCGTTTGATTCCAGGCGGCCGTGGCCACGTGCGCCTGGTCGACCTGACCGGCTAGAATGCCAACTACCGTGCTGGGCTCATTTCTGATGCGGCACCGTCGGGCGCTGTGGCCAGTCAAAGCTAGGGCAGACGTGGTTTGCTACCGCTGTTGTTTGCCGAGAAAGTGTAGCCATGGGCCGTGCCATGGTGCTTGGGGATCCTGTTGAACAGGAGGTGGCTGGGGATAACTGGCTGTGCGTTCTGTGTAGCGGGCGGTTCGCTATGATTCGTCACGCAAAAGAGCCCCGGACTTGAGACAGTTCCCAAAGGTGGGCAGTGTGCGATCTGCGCGCTGTGAGAAGTGTCACTAAGCATTACCCATCTTCAAGAAGGGCTATGGGCTGTAGCAAATGTTTGGAATGTTGACTTAGGTCACAGAGATGTGAAGGAAGCCTCATGAAGCATGCGACAAGTGCTGAAGCGACCGTTCTAACGAAATTAGCTGGTCTGTGTATCAGCAGCGCGCTTTGCGCCCTGACGTTTATGAAGGGGTTTGCTCTGTTTCTTCAGTAGGCCTGTCGTAGACATCACTTGACACTCCTTGTGCATGGTCTTCTTTCACTGGGCCCTCTGGTCTGTAGCTCTCAGTCGTCACCAATTTTGACATCCCGCCACTATTTTTGGGGCACCGGTGCGGTCCCCGACCCATTTTGCGCGCATCGAGGGCCGGGTAATTTTTGCTTGTCGTTTGTTTTTTGGTCAACATGGTGTGCGGTGATTTTATATCTGGCCTCTCTTTCTCTGTTTCTCTCTCCTCTCCTCCCGTGACTGTGTGTGGTCCTCTATCTCTGAGAAGCCCGCAGTGAGTACTGAAGACTCGGTGGCCGCCAGCTCGGCCAGTCCGGACATGGATGTCGTCGCCAGATTCGGCCGCTTGCCATTGTCGTTAGCCGTTTGCATGGCCGGGTTCGGCCCTGGACGTTTTCCCTCATCACTTTGCGTAGATGGTAGCGATTCGATGTGGTGTCCGTGGATGTTGTGAAGCAGACCCTTGGCACTGGTAGCAGTTCCCCTCTACCGCCTCCGGGGAGGGGTCGGGGCCTGGGGGAGAAGCGGCGGAGAATGGGGCGAGCACATAAGTCAGCGTAGTCGCGGTCAGCCCATGTCAACAGTTCACCGCGCCGGCTGCCAATTCTCAATACTCAATTGGCATGCCTTTTGTCGCTCTCTTTCTCTCTGTTTAAACAATGACTCGAGCGTGTCTGTTGCCATATAGATAGCTGGGTGTCGTGTTCGTGTTTGCCATGGCGTTTTTCTCATAACTCAGGTGGCCTAGTCCTCCGCCAGTGAGCCGCGCTGTACAGACGCTGTTCCTTGCTAACGTAACGTCGGCTCCCATCGCCTCTGCTTGTGAATGATAAGGCGGGCGCTGTGTGCGGCAGCGCTTGACAGCGCTTGGTCGGTTCAGTGGCCGCGTGGCCGGTGTTGGGCGTGCTGTGTGTGTGCGGGCTGGCGGCCGGACATGAGCTGAGCGCCGCTCCTACAGTGCCGGGCAAGCCGCGCACCTGACCGCACGCGTGCTGAACTCGACGGCTGTCCGGCTCACCTGGTCGCCACCCCAGGACCACGAGCGCAACGGTCTCATCCTCGGGTACCAGGTCCACGTGCAAGAGTTGGGCACGGAGGTGAGGCGATCCGAGCGACGCCGGCCTCGTGCAGGCGGCCTGGTCTAGCGCCGGGCCGCCAGTCACCGGCCGCCTAGGGCCCAGTCCCGGGCCAGCCGCCGAAGCGGAGCCGCACCCAAGTGCGGCCAAGTGCTGTGGATATTGGACTTAAAATCATGCCTCATGCACTTCACTCTGTAAAATGCGCAGCGCTTTATATGGTAGTTCAAGTCAGATATGGTGAAAATTAGAGATTCAGAAAGAAGACACGAGACGAACAAATACGTAGTCAACAATATTGAACGAAGACGAGTGTAGCGTTATTTCCAGCAGCGAACACCTTCGCGACTGGAGAAATGTGCCGGAGAGCGAGTCGGCAATCGGCAAGCTCGCCTTAGCAATGAATTATCTATACCTAAAACTTGGCATTTTCTCTGTGTGCCACGTCATACACCGCTCTGCCAGGACGAGTTACACACACACACACACACACACACACAAGCACACAACACACACACACACACACACAACACACACACACACACACACGACACACGCACACGCAAGCACGCGCACAGCGCACGCGCACGCGCAACGCGCACGCGCCACGCGCACAGGCGGCACGGCCGCGCACGCGCAACGCGCACTCGCACGCGCACGGCGCACGCGCACGCGCACGCGCACGCGCACGCGCACGCGCACGCGCACGCGCACGCGCACGGCGACGCGCACGCGCACGCGCACGCGCACGCGCACCGCAACAGCGCACGCGCACCACGCACACGCACAAACGCAACACGCACACTGACGGCCCTGCGCCGCGCCCGCTCGGCAGGGCAACAGCCGCGCGTCCCGGCCGCGACGCTACGAGATCCGCGACGGCGAGGCGGGCCGGCTACACGGCGGGCTGACCTGCACCATCACCTCCTACCTTTTTCGGGTGTGTGGACGAGCCGGCCGCCGGGCTCCGTGCCGCGCCTCTGTTCGCCTCGAGCCTCGGTCGGCTGGGGGTAGAGATGACGGCGAGAGACATGAGATGTCGCCGTGGGGGCGGGGGAGGGGTGGGCTGTTGGCTCCGGCGGCTGTTAGGTGGGCGTGGCGCGGTGTCGTGCGAGCGCAGCGCGGAGTTGTGAGTGTCGGTGTCGGTGTTGACGTGTGCGCAGACAACTCTGGGTGGCCGCGCAACGAAAGCAAGATGCAGGCACTGCCTCGGTTGTCGCAGTCGACTCGGTAAGCTGACCACCAGTTGCGGTGATGGCGTCTGCGATGCAGGTACGTACGAATATGGAGGAGAATGACTGCGATTGACCCGTGCTTGTGGCGTGCTCTGCTCCCCTCGGGCGCGGCCGACCGTCGATTGACGCGTGCGGCCGTGTCGGCGAGCCTGACCTGTGTCGATGCGCCGCCGCCAGGTGTCGGCACTCACTCGCAAGGGGGACGGCTCGCGCAGCGACGCGGCGCGCGCCACCACACAGGGCGGCGTGCCCAACCGGCCCGACGTGCTCATCAAGTGAGTGGCTGCGGCGCGGCCGGCGCCTGTGGCGTGCGCTGCATTGGGCCGGCTGTGGGCGGCGGCGAAACGTCCCTGGGTGAAATAGTGCGCTTGACCACGGTTGATGAGTACTGTAATGAGTACTGCGTTGATGAGTACTGTGGTCGTGGTGCTTCAGGGGAATGCTTAAAGCTGGATGACAGGAAGAACGTGGACGGACGGCCGGCGCGAGCTCGGCGGGACTGACCGGTGCATATGTGTCTGGCAGAGTGATCAAGGAGGAGGAGCGGGTGACGCTGGACGTGGAGTGGTCTCGCCCGACCGAGACGCACGGTGTGTTACTCGGCTACCGGCTGCGCTACGGCCGGGCGGGCGACGCCGCCAGGCTGAGGGAGGTCACCATCGCCGGAAACACGACCCAGTACAAACGACTCAGCGGCCTGGGTTAGTCGGCCCCCGAGCGGCGAATTCGCGTGTCTCCTCCTCGCCTCGACCCGCCACCGCCCTCGAAATGTGTGTGTGTGTGTGTGTGTGTGTGTGTGTGTGTGTGTGTGTGTGTGTGTGTGTGTGTGTGTGTGTGTGTGTGTGTGTGTGTGTGTGCGCACGCACGCACGCACGCACGCACGCACGCACGCGTGCGTGCACGCGCGCGCTTCCGGTGGCCTTGGCTGGTAACGCGCCGTCGTGCGCCCTGCTCCCACCGCCGTGTACCGGACACGTGCGCGCCGTGAGTCCTGTCATGGGTCCCGCCGTAAGTACCGTCGTGGTTCCTGCATTGAGCCCTGTCATGAGTCCGCCATGAGCCCGGTCGTAATTCCTGCCGTGAGTCAGACCTGAGTCGGCTGGCTAGCCCGGGCTGACCCGTCGCGGCCGACCGGCAGAACGTGGCGTCGAGTACGAGTTCCGTGTGAGCGGCCGGAACGACGTCGGCCACGGCCAGGAGCAGATCGTCACGTACAACACGAGCGAGGGCGCGCCGTCCGGCCCCGTCACAAACGTCACGTTCAGGTGGGTGACGGCCGGGAGGGGCGCCGCTGCCGACGCGCCAGCAGTGGCGGCTCGGTAGCTGGCCGGCTTAACCACCGGGAAACATGGTATGTGGCCTGTGGGGAAGGAAGGGCCAGGGAATAAAGAGCTTGACTTTTTTAATGACAACATTTTTCTAAACGACCGAAACATGTTTTAAGTGGGCACAAAATGACCATTGCAGTCGGCACGCCCTAAAACAGCAAGAAACAACGGTAACACCGTGTTGTTCTCTATGGGTTCACACATTTCATAAAAGCTGGTCAATGAATCTGTTAATGTCCTGCGATGTTTTCTCTGGCTTTTGCGTAGAATCGTACTCCTTGACACTCTGGATGTCTTTTTAGTCATTTATTGAATGTTATTGCAACACAATTACAGGATGTCAGCGATAACTGTTCAGAGATGACAAAACTCATTCCTACATATATCATTTTCATCCCGTGGGTTTGCTTTTTTGGAGCAATTCAGACGATTGTGCGCTTTTGGCTCCAAAATGCGCCTAATTTGCCAGTCTACCAAGCGTTGCTGGAGTAAGCGGATTTGGCGCTTCGTGAAAAATTTAATGCAATCTTGGTGTCTTATCTCTCGTGTCATCTTCCGCGCAAATATGATATACCCAGGCTTTTGTATGATTATTTTGCCGGACCGTTGTCTAATGTGCCTGATGTGTTTGAGAACAGCGCATGCTGGTGTGTTGTCCACCCTCATCGGTCCTATCCGGGCTTCAGTGTGAGTCATACATGTGAGGCTGGCATTCATCGCTCATAATCACGCTTTTCTTCCTCAGCTGGGCTAGTTTAGCGTTTAATCTGGTCTTTGTTGAAATATCATTAGTGCTTTTCAGATCGCGTCGAGTTAAATCTTCTGGATTTTTCCTGCAGAGGAAGGATGAAAAAGTTTGTCTGATCTTGGCCAACATTAAGACGTCAGCTACTTTCCGCGGCACGACGCCGTGCCATCTGGGGGCTTATATTCGCGTAGACCAAGCGTGAAATGAAGCCCGGAGCTTTCCAGACAGTCCTATGTGATCGAGACAAATTATGATGCTTTGAAATCGAGTGGTTTGCTATGGGATTGACGGAACGGAAGCCAGGTGTTTCCGCATCGGCAGGTCCTGTTTCTCCACGTTTGTTATTCTTTTAAGTGTCTGTCACCATCATAGTGCCTTTTTTAGCTGGTTTGTTTTATTGTGATTGCCATTTTGTCGTGCACCGACAAGTATACCTACCAGCCGCTTTAAAAATGTCAATTGTCTTACACAGTTCGTATCATTTGTCTTCTTAGAACAGATTTGTCCGCCTCGTAACTCAGTCTGTAAGAGCGCCTGCCTCCCAAGCTATCCATGGCGGGACGGGTGAGGGCTCGAGTCGCCCCCGAGCCCGCTATTGGCCCCTGGCTGGAAGACTTGCGATGGGTGGTAGCGGCCGCCCAAGGGCTGATGACGTCATAGAGCGCGGTGGACTGGGCCGAGGATTGCAGCACGCAAAATCTCCGCACAAAGTTCTGCCTTTGAACTGAAACTTTACGATCGTCTGGTGGGATCAAGGTTCACAAGCGCTGCTTAACGGCAGCTTATCGACACCAGAAACCCATGCCACCTAGATGCTCCCACCCAATTAAAATAATGAGATATAAAAATAATAAAACGGGTCACATAAAATGGTAAAACAGGCTCACAGGTTCACAGGCTCACAAACAGATAAAACACGTTCAGGTCACCTTTGCATTCGGCGAACAGATCGCTGCATGTTTTGCGGCTAGAATTGGATCGGGCTTCGCTGTGCCGTGTCTACGTAATTAAAAGCTCATCCTGGCGGCATCTGTTCGAACCTCTCGACGTACCTGATACGTTGTCTTGGGGGAGCACGCGGCTGTCGGCAATCAGTGAAATGGGGACACGGGTTTACGGATAACAACACGTTTGCCACGGGTGCTACTGGTACTATCTTTCCGGCAGGTGATGTCGGACTGACCGTGCCCTCCGGCGGTGTGTCGCCAGATTCCAGACGACCGATCGGGTGGCTTTCACCTGGGATCCGCCGCGATCGGACCAGCGAAACGGCAAGATCACCGGCTACAGTGTGCAGTTCCACAAGAAGGGCAACCTTGACCACGTGGAGCGGATGCACCCCAACGACACCAAGGTTTGCGACATCCACTGGTCCCGCATGTGCCTCCCAATTCTTCCCTGTCCTGGCATAGCTGGCAGAAGCCGACGCATTTGGCCGACTCTGGCTGGTATAACAAACTGAACTTCAGTGCCTGAGAGCTGGTCTTGCATTGCTCTCGCACGGCCAGATAAGTATGGGCATTTCTTCGTGCAGGGCCTCGTTGGCGGCCGCGGTGATCAAAGGGCGCCTCCGTTAACTGTCAGGCGTTCGATGTACCGTGACTTACGGTAGCGTTGCGAGCGATGGCGGCGTGCTCTCCTCGGCGCGCCGTCGTGCTGCCCGTCAGGCCGCCGTGTGCCATGCAGGTGGTGTTCGCCAAGCTGGAGGAGAACACGGCGTACGTGTTCCGGGCGCGCGCCAACACGTCGGTGGGCGCCGGGCCGTGGAGTGCGCCCGTCTCGGTCAGCACCGAGAGTGACCTGGTGCGGCCCCGCCCATCAACCTGCGCGCCATGGCCACCAGCTTCTCAAGCGTCGAGGTCTGGTGGGAGCAGGTGCACACCGCCACACAGATCGTCGGATACCAGGTCAGTGGGCGAGACCCGGGGCCGAGACGGCGCCACGCCGCGGGCGCCCAACCGGCACGGGGTGTCATGTGGCGGGCGGGTATGTTTGTTGGTGGGGTGGGGCCGCGGCTCATCGCAAGCGTTGGCTTCGTCCCCGATGCTGTACGCCCTGTCCATCTCTTGTTGGCTGTCTTAAATGGAATACTGCACATTCGAAGATAATGAATCAGGTAGCAGATGTGATGAAAGAAGCTCATTTTTCACTATCTTGATGCTTTCAAGTGTAAAAGACTGCTCTAGACAGCAAAGTTTTTTGTAAATATGCTCCTCAACAGATCACCTTTTCATTGCGCCCTTAAACGTTTGTGTGTCAGCACTCACTAGTTTTTCAATCTCCCGGGGGGTGGCTCGTGCTGATGATGGGTGTGTGCTGAACCAAATATCGTTACGACGGGACTCGCGACATGACGAATGGTGTGCTCGTGTTTTGGCCGTTTCTTGTGTTCTGGCATATTTTTCGGTAATTTTAAGGTGTTGACTTTATTCACATCTCGGTTATAGAGCCTTCGTTAAGTTAGTCGATAACAATTGTTTTTCCCATACTAAATAGGCAGGATGTATAACTTCTTGTATTTCGCAGCACAAAACGTAATTCGTAAAGAACGTCCGACCGACCCTATTATCCTCTTATCCTATTTCTTGCATCATCTTGCATGCTCGCGATGCCCCGCTTGTCCGGGGCAGGGTGCATTCATCAGCAGCGAGTTGGCCGAGCGGCCCCCTGTAGGGGTCTCCGACCTGGGTCCCGTTGCGCAACATTGGTTGAGAGCCAGTTGACGGCCGTTATATCTGGGAGGCGCGCTCACGAACGCTAGACATTACGGCTCGACAGTTATATTTTCTTGACTCTGAACGCCGCATGGCTAGTGGAATGGCAGGATTTGAATGACACTATGTCGTCAAGGATGTCTTGGTAACCTTGAAGTATTCGGCACGAAATAGTATGTACATCTTCGCGGGTGAGCGTGTAGATCAAACTAGAGGGGTTTAGGTCTGGAGAAGAGCAGGGCTCTGAACTACACCGAATGGTCTCCAAGTATTTACGTTCAAAACCCCATACAAATGTGGAACACTCCCTCTAAGCATCCGTATCTGCATCGTTGAGGAGGCACGCCTGTCGTTACACTAGACAGCGGCACGCCTGTCGTTACACTAGACAGCGGCACGCCTGTCGTTACACTAGACAGCGGCACGCCTGTCGTTACACTAGACAGCGGCACGCCTGTCGTTACACTAGACAGCGCCTCAGAGTGCTGCCGTGCGGTCGGGTCCTCGGGCGGGGGGTGGTCGGGTCCTCGGGCGGGGGCGGTCGGGTCCTCGGGCGGGGGTGGTCGGGGTCCTCGGGCGGGGGTGGTCGGGTCCTCGGGCGGGGGTGGTCGGGTCCTCGGGCGGGGGCGGTCGGGTCCTCGGGCGGCGGCGGTCGGGTCCCTCGGGCGGGGGTGGTCGGGTCCCCGGGCGGGGGCGGTCGGTCCTCGGGCGGCGGTTGGTCGGGTCCTCGGGCGGGGGTGGTCGGGTCCTCGGGCGGCGGTTGGTCGGGTCCTCGGGCGGGGGTGGTCGGGTCCTCGGGCGGGGGCGGTCGGGTCCTCGGGCGGCGGTGGTCGGGTCCTCGGGCGGGGGCGGTCGGGTCCTCGGGCGGGGGGTGGTCGGGTACTCGGGCGGGGGCGGTCGGGTCCTCGGGCGGGGGTGGTCGGGTCCTCGGGCGGGGGCGGTCGGGTCCTCGGGCGGGGGCGGTCGGGTCCTCGGGCGGGGGCCGGTCGGGTCCTCGGGCGGGGGCGGTCGGGTCCTCGGGCGGGGGCGGTCGGGTCCTCGGGCGGCGGTGGTCGGGTCCTCGGGCGGGGGCGGTCGGGTCCTCGGGAGGCGGCGGTCGGGGTCCTCGGGGCGGGGGCGGTCGGGTCCTCGGGCGGGGGGCGGTCGGGTCCTCGGGCGGGGGCGGTCGGGTCCTCGGGCGGGGGCGGTTCGGGTCCTCTGGCGGGGGTGGTCGGGTCCTCGGGCGGGGGTGGTCGGGGTCCTCGGGCGGGGGTGGTCGGGTACTCGGGCGGGGGCGGTCGGGTCCTCGGGCGGGGGTGGTCGGGTCCTCGGGCGGGGGCGGTCCGGGGTCCTCGGGCGGGGGCGGTCGGGTCCTCGGGCGGGGGTGGTCGGGTCCTCGGGCGGGGGTGGTCGGGTCCTCGGGCGGGGGCGGTCGGGTCCTCGGGCGGGGGCGGTCGGGTCCTTCGGGCGGGGGCGGTCGGGTCCTCGGGCGGGGCGGTCGGGTCCCTCGGGCGGGGGCGGTCGGGTCCTCGGGCGGGGGTGGTCGGGTACTCGGGCGGGGGCGGTCGGGGTCCTCGGGCGGGGGTGGTCGGGTCCTCGGGCGGGGGTGGTTCGGGGTCCTCGGGCGGGGGTGGTCGGGTCCTCGGGCGGGGGTGGTCGGGTCCTCGGGCGGGGGCGGTCGGGTCCTTGGGCGGCGGCGGTCGGGTCCTCGGGCGGGGGTGGTCGGGTCCTCGGGCGGGGGTGGTCGGGTCCTCGGGCGGCGGCGGTCGGGTCCTCGGGCGGGGGTGGTCGGGTCCTCGGGCAGCGGCGGCCGGCCACCGTCGTCGCCCTGTGGATCGTGACAAGCCGGGCGGCCGCCAGGTGTTCTACGCCATGGCGCCCGAGACGGACCTAGACGCCTGGTCATTCAAGAAGGTACCGATCACCACGTCTGCTGAGCTGGAGAACCTGGACAAGCACGCGCAGTACGCCATCATGGTGGCCGCTCGCAGCAAGTCGGTAAGCGACGGGTCGGGCACGGCTGAGAGGCGTCCGAGGCTGCCGGCCAGGTAGCTCTGACCGGCCACCGGCTCCGTGTCCAGTCTGGAGATGTGCTGGTGCTCTATGTGGTGCCACTTCTTCTTGGTTTGGTGTTAAGCTCAGGACTGGCGTACGTGCGCGGGACTTGTTTTGCTAAACCCTGGAGAAACAGGTTAAGCCAGGAGAGCCTACTGTTTTCTTCCCGTTATACAAGACCGAGTATTACATGCGCGCCAGAATTTTTGTGAGCAGGAGTCTCATAAATGTCCGATGTGGCTGCGTCATCATGATTGCCATTGTACTGTATTGAAAATCACACCACTTTTTAAGGTCTAAGCCGTTCCTCGGACCTGACCCGCTCCCTGGGCATAGCCCGCTCCTTAGACCTGACCCGCTCCTCGGACCTGACCCGCGGCGTCTGCCCTCAGGGTCTGGGCGGTCTCTCGGACCTGACCCGCGGCGTCTACCCCCAGGGTCCGGACCGTCCCTCGGGCCTGACCCGCGGTGTCTGCCCCCAGGGTCTGGGTCGTCTCTCGGACCTGACCCGCGGCGTCCGCCCCAGAGTCTGGGTCGTCTCTCGGACCTGACGCGCGGCGTCTGCCCCCAGGGTCTGGGTCGTCTCTCGGACCTGACCCGCGGCGTCTGCCCCAGAGTCTGGGTCGTCTCTCGGACCTGACGCGCGGCGTCTGCCCCCAGGGTCTGGGCCGTCCCTCGGACCTAACCCGCGGCGTCTGCCCCCAGAGTCTGGGTCGTCTCTCGGACCTGATGCGCGGCGTCTGCCCCCAGGGTCTGGGTCGTCTCTCGGACCTGACCCGCGGCGTCTGCCCCCAGAGTCTGGGTCGTCTCTCGGACCTGACGCGCGGCGTCTGCCCCCAGGGTCTGGGCCGTCCCTCGGACCTAACCCGCGGCGTCTGCCCCTAGGGTCTGGGTCGTCTCTCGGACCTGACGCGCGGCGTCTGCCCCCAGGGTCTGGGCCGTCTCTCTGGCCTAACCCGCGGTGTCTGCCCCCAGAGTCTGGGTCGTCTCGGACCTGACCCGCGGCGTCTGCCCCCAGGGCCTGGGCCGTCTCTCGGACCTGATCCGCGTGCGGGTCAAGCCAATCGACGTGCCGTTGAACCTGCACGCGCCCAGCGTGCACACACACGGCATGTCGCTGACGTGGGGCCGGCCGGCACACCTGGACCCGCGCAACTACCGCATCCGCTACGACGCCGTCAAGGAGTTCCTCGACGCCGAGGGCGTGACGCAGTCGCAGCGCATCGAGCCGCGCGCGCTGATCCTGGACGCCAAGCGGTGCGAAAAGACGAGCGTCTGCCGCAAGCAAATCGAGGACCTGGAGCCGTTCACCACGTACACGGTGAACGTGACGGCCGTGCCCGACGACAACGGCTACCGCGCGCCGGCCAAGATCCGCGTCACCACCCAGATGGCCGGTAGGTCCGCCGGCGCCGGCGGCGGCGGTGGCGCGTCTGACTGTGTGTGTGTGGGGGGGGGGGAGGGGCTCTGCTCGGCAGACGGACGACAGGAGGTGTTCTAGAGCGCGACTGAGTGTGTGTGTGGGGGGGGGGGGGAGGAGCTCTGTTCGGCAGACGGCCAACGGGGGGTGTTATAGAGCGCGAGGATCGGCCCCAGGTAACAGATCGTCCGGGGTTGGGGCGTATGCCTCGGGCATCTGAGGCGCTTGTGAGTTATGACCCTTACTGTGAGATGGGAAGCCTAGTCAGCTGCTTTCACGAGCCTTTTCTGACTGTGTTGGGGTGCTGGTTTGATCGGGAGGCTTGTTTATTTTACTATCGTTGGCGATATACGACCAATAACCACTCACTCGTGCTCGTTTGTCACGTGGAGTCAGCATGTCGCTAGATCAGCCCGATGGTCAGAGGGGCGTGACCTGCATATGTGACCGCTATTCGGTGACCGGCCTCTCTGCACAGCCAGACGACTGTATCGCTGTCGGCGCGTCTGGCGTGCACGCCTTCTGCTGTCCTTGCCGTGATTGGTCTGTTGTGCGGCCGACCTGACCGCCGCCTGCGCGTTCTCTGCAGCGCCGCAGCCGATGGTGAAGCCTGACCCACTGGGCGTGCGGAACAAGAAGGTGATGGTGATCCTGCCGCGCGCCTCGGAGGAGTACGGCCCCATCTCGCACTACTTCATCGTGGTGGTACCCCGAACACGACGTCAAAGAGCATCCGGACTCGCACAGCACAAAGAAGGTGAGCGGCGGCGGAAGTCGTGGTTAGCCATGGCTGGCGGCGGCTGCGCGCCGGCGCCGCCTTGCTGCAGCGCCGGCCGCGCGGGACTCACAGCCGGTAGAGCGGCTCGAGCAGGCCCAGCTCGCGGCTGAGCGGTCGAGCCGAGCCAAAGTCCGCCCCCGCGCTGCTCTCCCCAGCAGCCCGGAGGCCGAGCGCAGGCGGCCGACCGGAACCGCACGGGTGGCGGGACGCCGCGGCCGTCGGTACCCTAGCCGTCGGTAAACCCCTGCCGTTCGACGCCGGTTGGTACAAAAACTCGGCCTCTCCCCGCCCGCCAGATGGTGGAGTGCGAAGCGCTCCAAGGCTGGATGCCCAACTAATACCAGGCCCGTACATCACCGCCAAGTTTTACCAGCGGCGACAATCCCATACCACCTTCAGCGCTCGGGGACCGGCCGCGAGTACGACGGCTTCGTCAACCAAGCCGCTTGAGAAGGGCAAAGAAAGTACCCGCATCTTCGTGCGTTGACCGTCGTGTGCCACACGCCGGCGGAGGTCAGTATTGGGGGGGGGGGGGGGGGGGGGGGGGGGGGGGGGGGGGGGTGGGTGGCTGACGCTAGCTGAGGCAGCTGAAGCAGGCCGGCGGTGAGTGCCACTCCTCATTGGTGACCAAAGTGCCGCGGCCGAGACACTGTCCGGCTCGGATACGTCTCTTGACTTTAGCCGGAGGAGGTCACCGACGGTTTGTTGCATGGTCTCGAGCGCCGGTTTTGCCAGGCTGTTGAGCCGTCATGTGCCAGCGATGCTGTCTGTGTCAAGTCTGTGGAGGACTTGCGCGGCTGGGTTCCGTCTGTCGGCCTCTGTAGCGGCCGGGGCATCTCATCCTGCCCATTGTGCTACTGTCAATTCTTCCGCGGCCTTTGGTAGCCGTTCACGTCCAGTCCGTACTTAGAACTGCTCTGTCCACACTCCACGTGACCTGACGCGGGCCATCCCCTCGTGCAGGACCTGTTCACGTCCAGTCCGTATTCGGAGCTACTCAGTCCTGGACATGAAGCGGCTGCGGGCGGGCGCGCTGCCGCAGCGGCCCAACCCCAGCCAGCCGGGCGATTCAGGTGAAGGTGGCGCCGGACACCTCGCGCTCCTCGTCCAGCCTGGTCTGGGTGGTGGGCCCAGTGGCCGTCGGTCTGGTGCTGCTCATCATCCTGGTGCTGTACATCGTCATCGCCGCCAGGAGGTGAGCGGGCCGAGCGTCGCCGCTCCGCTGCCGCGCGTGCTCCGGTGGGACGGGAAGCCGGACGCCCCGGAGCCCGAGGGAGCGCGGCGTGACGACTGCAGGCTGGGGCGCAGGCGGGGTCGTGATGAGCGCGTGAGTTTGTGGCCCGGTCTGCCGCCAGCGGTACTGGTGATCTGCGAGTAGATGTAGACCATACCAACCTGAAGCAGGGACGACGGAAGTAACCTTGAGCCTTCAGTGACCTGCGTTCTGTACTGACCTCTGATCGTGCTTCCCGGTATGACCAGAGCACGGCAGCTGTGCTCAACCCTTGCTCAGGTTTGCCCTGGTTGTCTGGTTAACATGGTCGTGACCTGTCCACCGTCGAGCTCCCTGACGTTCTCTTCACCGGACCAGATCGCGACCTGTCCACCGCCGAGCCCTCTGACGTTCTCTTTACCGGACCAGATCGCGACCTGTCCACCGTCGAGCCCTCTGACGTTCTCTTTACCGGACCAGATCGCGACCTGTCCACCGTCGAGCCCTCTGACGTTCTCTTCACCGGGACCAGATCGCGACCTGTCCACCGTCGAGGTACCTGACGTTCTCTTCACCGGACCAGATCGCGACCTGTCCACCGTCGAGCTCCCTGACGTTCTCTTAACCGGACCAGATCGCGACCTGTCCACCGTCGAGCCCTCTGACGTTCTCTTCACCGGACCAGATCGCGACCTGTCCACTGTCGAGCTCCCTGACGTTCTTTTCACCGACCAGATCGCGACCCTGTCCACCGTCGAGCTCCCTGACGTTCTCTTCACCGGACCAGATCGCGACCTGTCCACTGCGGAGCCCTCTGACGTTCTCTTCACCGGACCAGATCACGACCTGTCCACCGTCGAGGTACCTGACGTTCTCTTCACCGGACCAGATCAAGACCTGTCCACTGTCGAGCTCCCTGACGTTCTCTTCACCGGACCAGATCGCGACCTGTCCACCGTCGAGCCCTCTGACGTTCTCTTCACCGGACCAGATCGCGACCTGTCCACGTCGAGCTCCCTGACGTTCTCTTCACCGGACCAGATCGCGACCTGTCCACCGTCGAGCTCCCTGACGTTCTTTTCACCGGACCAGATCGCGACCTGTCCACCGTCGAGCTCCCTGACGTTTTCTTCACCGGACCAGATCGCGACTGTCCACCGTCGAGCTCCCTGACGTTCTCTTCACCGGACCAGATCGCGACCTGTCCACCGTCGAGCTCCCTGACGTTTTCTTCACCGGACCAGATCGCGCCGTGGGCGCTCCGTCCTCGCCTTTGGGCCAGACCGGCCTGCGCGGCCGAGATCAGCTGCAGCTGGCATCGAGCGCGGACTGACCTAATCTCACCCTATCTAACCACCCCCGCCGCTCTGACCTGACCGTGCCCGAGCTTGCGTAGTCTGACGCCCCCCCCCCCGCGCTGTGTGCGGCAGGCGGCGTCAGTTCCAGAAGTCACCCGAGCCGGCCACCGTGATGAAGCCGCTGATGTGTGACATGGCGGCGCCGGCCAGCCACGCGCAGACCGACCCGGTCGAGATCCGGCGCCAGAACTTCCAGACGCCCGGCATGATGTCGCACCCACCCGTACACGTTAGCCAGCTGGCCGACCACGTGGAGGCGCTCAAGGCCAACGACAACAGCAAGTTCTCGCAGGGAATACGAGGTGCGCCCCCGGGGGACTCGTCTTGCACTCGCACGGGCGAGGAAGTTGGGGCGGGGTAGACGTGTTGGGGTGAGGTGAGCAGCCACTGTTGGCGTGGGGGTCATGCTGAGGCGGCACGCTGTTGTCTGACTGGAGTGCGGTATGTGGTCCCTCCGCCGGCGCAGCTCCTGGACTCCGCCTGAGCATGCGTCTCCACGTCATCTGCAGATGTCGCCGCCTGCTCAGCGATGGACAGTCCAGCTGCCCGTCCGAAACGTCGCCGACCTGTCACACGACGCCTTCCCGCCGCGTGACAGAACGTCACCGACCTGTCACACGACGCCTCCCGCCGCGTGACTGAACGTCACCGACCTGTCACACGACGCCTCCCGCCGCGTGTGCTGAACGTCACCGACCCGTCACACGACGCCTCCCGCCGCGTGGCTGAACGTCACCGACCCGTCACACGACGCCTCCCGCCGCGTGGCTGAACGTCACCGACCCGTCACACGACGCCTCCCGCCGCGTGGCTGAACGTCACCGACCCGTCACACGACGCCTCCCGCCGCGTGACTGAACGTCACCGACCTGTCACACGACGCCTCCCGCCGCGTGGCTGAACGTCACCGACCTGTCACACGACGCCTCCCGCCTCGTGACTGAACGTCACCGACCTGTCACACGACGCCTCCCGCCGCGTGACTGAACGTCACCGACCTGTCACACGACGCCTCCCGCGCGTGACTGAACGTCACCGACCTGTCACACGACGCCTCCCGCCGCGTGACTGAACGTCACCGACCTGTCACACGACGCCTCCCGCCGCGTGACTGAACGTCACCGACCTGTCACACGACGCCTCCCGCCGCGTGACTGAACGTCACCGACCTGTCACACGACGCCTCCCGCCGCGTGACTGAACGTCACCGACCTGTCACACGACGCCTCCCGCCGCGTGACTGAACGTCACCGACCTGTCACACGACGCCTCCCGCCGCGTGACTGAACGTCACCGACCTGTCACACGACGCCTCCCGCCGCGTGACTGAACGTCACCGACCTGTCACACGACGCCTCCCGCCGCGTGACTGAACGTCACCGACCTGTCACAACGACCGCCTCCCGCCGCGTGGCTGAATGTCGCACTCGGTCCGGGGCCCCACTGACTGCGCCGCTCCCATCGCTCTGTCGGCAGTCGATCGAGCCGGGCCAGCAGTTCACCTGGGTCAACTCCAACCTGGACGTGAACCGGCCCAAGAACCGATACGCCAACGTCATAGCGTACGACCACTCGCGCGTGGTGCTGCAGTCGGAGGAGGGGCTGGCGGGCAGCGACTACATCAAACGCCAACTTCTGCGACGGCTACCGCAAGCACAACGCCTACATCGCCACCCAGGTGCGCCCAGCCGCCGGAGGGAGGGGACGTCGGCTCCAGCGAGGTCGTATGACATCATTTCACTGTCCTGGGGCGTTCTGTTCATGATGGGGCTGTAGTAAGCGTTGAGGTCGTTCAAACGCATGCTTGTCGTTTATTGTGAAGCTTGTATGCACTGTCATCAGCTGCTGCTGGGCTGGGGTCGGTGTTGTCGAGATGACCAGTGGCTGAGAGGTGCTTTGTCTGAACCCCGCCGCACCTGAACCCCATTGTGTCTGCACCCCGCCGTGCCTGGCCCCTCTGTGTCTGAACCCCACCATGTTTGAAACCCGTCCGTGTCTGGACCCCACTATGTCTGAGCCCTGCCGTTTCTGACCCCGCCTTGTCTGAAACCATGCCGTGTTTGACCCCCCGCCGTACCTGAACCATGCCGTGTTTGACCTCGCTGTGTCTGAACACCGCCGTGTTTTGACCTCGCTGTGTCTGAACCCGGCCGTGTTTGACCCCCCACTGTATCTGAACCATGCCGTGTTTGACCTCGCTGTGTCTGAACCCCGCCGTGTTTGAGCCCCACTCCTATCTGAACCATGCCGTGTTTGACCTCGCTTGTGTCTGAACCACGCCGTGTATGACCTCGCTGTGTCTGAACCCCGCTGTGTCTGAGCCCTGCCGTTTCTGACCCCGCCTTGTCTGAACCAATGCCGTGTTTGACACCCCCGCCGTATCTGAACCATGCCGTGTTTGACCTCGCGTGTGTCTGAACCCCGCCGTGTTTGACCTCCCACCGTATATGAACCATGGCGTGTTTGACCTCGCTATGTATGAACCCCGCCGTGTGTGACCTCGCTGTGTCTGAACAACCGACCGTGTTTGACCCCCCACCGTATCTGAACCATGCCCTGTTGACCTCGCTGTGTATGAACCCCGCCATGTGTGACCTCGCTGTGTCTGAACCCCTCCGTGTTTAACCCCCACCGTATCTGAACCATGCCGTGTGTGACCGCACCACGGCCGGTGCCGCAGGGCCCGCTGCCGGAAACGTTCTCCGACTTCTGGCGCATGGTATGGGAGCAGCGCAGCTTCACTATTGTCATGATGACGCGCCTGGAGGAGCGGGCGCGCATCAAGTGTGACCAGTACTGGCCCACCAAGGGCACACAGTCGTACGGGCCCATCCATGTGACGCTCACAGACAGTCAGGAGCTGGCCAGCTACGTGGTCCGCACCTTCCAGCTGCAGCGGGTATGTGCCGTCCCGTCCCTTTCCGCCTCAGTCCTCGCGACCCGCCCCTGGACTCTCTTCGCTGGTCTTAGTATTCTCATCCCTCCCCCCCCCCCCGTGGTGATAGCAATATGTATATTTGCCACGTCGCTCGTTCGACACCACAAAAAGCGTGTGGCTTGGTTGCTAGTTTGGATGGCCAGTCATTGTGTGAAGTGGTATGGACCGTGAGCCGCTCCAGGCCCGTCTCGCGGGCCCTGTTTACGCTGTCCCCTTTGCTGGTTGTGCCCACGTGTAACTGGCTCCGCGTGAGCTCGCGTGTGACTGACGCCGTGCGTGCGTTCGGCAGGCCAACTCGCTGGAGCGGCGCGAGGTGCGCCAGTTCCAGTTTACGGCATGGCCCGACCACGGCGTGCCCGACCACCACCGACGCCGTTCCTGCTGTTCTTGCGCCGCGTCAAGGCGCTGAACCCGGCCGACGCTGGGCCGATGGTGACGCACTGCTCGGCGGGCGTGGGCCGCACCGGGTCAGTGAACGGCCCGCTGGGCGGCCGGCAGCGCCGCGACGGCACCGATCCGGCCACCGTGGGCCTCATCGCTCCAGCAGAGGCTCGGGCCATGTTGCTGGTCGGGTGACGGCCTTTACGTCGCGTTATTTTCGCTGTGAGCGTGTGACGGTCGATATCTTCTATGGCGGCTGCTTGTAGCGCTGCGCTACTGTTGGCCGTGACATCTTGTTCACAAGTCATCGCCGGGGAGTGGCGGCGCTCGCAAGTCGGGGGTGCAGCGACGCGCCGCCGCCGCTGGTCGGGCGGCAGATGTGCGGCGGCGCGCGCGTCCACGCAGGAGTCACGGTGCTGACGACCGCCTCCGGACGGCAGGTGCTTCATCGCCATCGACAGCATGCTGGAGCGCATCCGCTCCGAGGCCACGGTTGACGTCTACGGTCACGTGACTTGCCTGCGAGCCCAGCGCAACTACATGGTGCAGACTGAGGACCAGGTGCGCGCCGGCGGAGGACGCGGCTGTGGTACAGTCGCGAGCGCGGCGGCTCTGAGACGGACACTGAGGGTGTGGCTCAGCTCCGAGGGTAAACCGGCGCTCTTCGTTCGGAATGTGTTGGCCGTTTTTTGATGATGTGTCATCCCAGGGGTTGGCTACACAGTGAAAGTTCCGTTTGAACTGCGTCGCCAGCATCTGCCCCGGCTGGTCCGCTCGCCAGCCCAGGTATGTGCTGACGCCATATGCTGTGCTCTGCACCGGCTCGGCCGGCCCCCCGCTGACGTCAGCTACGGCCCTGTCGCCAGTACATCTTCATCCACGACGCGCTGCTGGAGTCGGTGGTGGCCGGCAACACGGAGGTACCGGCGCGCAACCTGCAGGCCTACATATCGCAGCTGCTTCAGCCGACCGGACCCGGCGACAAATCACCGGCATGGAGCTCGAGTTCAAGGTACGCCAGGCGCGGGCCGAGCGCCGGCGGCCCCGCCTCCGGCCGGCCGGGCCGTCCTGGTTCCGGTCAGGCGTGGTGTCGGCGCCTTGTCGCCAGGCGCGCTCCGAGTGCCTGGCTCGGCCTGCCTCCGGCCGGCCGGGCCGTCCTGGTTCCGGTCGGACGTGGTGCCGGCGCCTTGTCGCCAGGCGCGCTCCGAGCGCCGGCGGCCCCGCCTCCGGCCGGTCGGGCGTGGTGTCGGCGCCTTGTCGCCAGGCGCGCTCCAAACTTTCCTCCATACGTCACGCGCAGTGCGCTCACCGTGCCTCGCGTCTGCAAATGTCTGTGCTTATATTTGACTCTGGTTCCGGTGCTGACCACACATGGCTCCCTAAAGCTGTGTTTACCACTTCATTGCGACAGTGCAAGTGGAATTTTATGTTTATGGTTGCATTAATGGGTGCATAGCAGAACGACCCGGTACACCTGAGCGGGGCGAAACAGCGGAAATAAAATGCGCTAACTGCGGCGGTAGAACAGACAGGCAACGGACGCATGTTCTGACTACTACACCTGAAGCTGAGCCGTAATCAGCACGCCGGAGCGGTGTGTACTGGTCCACCGGTGTGTCTGGACCGGACCCGGCCTCGGCGCTTGAGAGGATTTCTGACTTGCCGTCGGTGAATGACGTGTGCGGACTTCATTGTCACTTGTCATGGCCTGTCGTGTCGTCCCGGAGCAGGCGCAACGGGCGATGCCTGGGACAGTCGGAGCTGGGTCACCGCCGTACCGA